TATAATAATAATAATATAATAATAATAAAATGATAATAACAATAATAGTAACACTAGTAATAATAATAGATATAGTGATAATGATAATAATAATAATAATGGCGATCATAATAATAAAAAAATGTTAAAGATAATACTAATAATGATGATAATAATAACAATGACAATAATGATGATAATAATGATAATGATATAATAGTATTAATGATAATATAATTAATATCATTATTATTATTATCATTATTATCATTATTGTGTTATCATTATTATTGTTATTGTTGTTATTATTAATGATAACAAGGATAATTATAACAATAATAATAATATATAATAATCAAAGAATGATGATAATGATAATGATGATAATAATAATAATGCAATTAATATTAATCATAATATAATTATTATAATTATTATTATAATTATTGCCATCACTATTTTCTTATCATAATTTATTATTATTATTAATTATTATTTTTATTATTATTATTATCATTATTATTATTATCATTATTATTATTATTATTATCATCATTATTACTACTATTATTATTGCTATTATTATCATTATTATTACTATTATTATTATTATTATTATTATTATTATTATTATTATTATTATTATTATTGTTATTATTACTATTATTATTATTATTATTATTATCCTTAATATTATCATCATTATTATTATTATCGTTATTGATATTATTATCATTATCATTATCATATTCATTATTATCATTATTATTATTATTATTATTATTATTATTATTATTATCATTATTATTATCATTATTATTATCATTATTATATTATTATTATTATTTATTATTATTATTATTATTATTATTATTATATTATTATTATTGTTACTATTATTAGTATCATTATTATCATTGTTGTTGTTATTAATATTACTACTACTACTATTATTATCATCATTATTATAATCATCATTATTGTTATTATCATCTTTATTATTATCACCATTATTATTGTTAATGTTAAAATTTTCTTTTTCTTATAATTTTATATTATATAATAATAATAATAAAAAATAATAATAATGATAATAATAATAATAATAAATAATAATAATAATAATAATAATAATAATATAATTGTAATAATGATAATAATAATGGTGATGATGATGATGATGATGATGATGATAATAATAATGATAATAATGATAATAATTATAATGATAATGATAATGAAAATGATAATAATAACAATAATATTAATAGTAATGATGATAATAATAATAACATTAATGATAATGATAATGATAATGATAATAATATTAATGATAATAATAATAATTATAATGATAATAATGGTGATGATAATAATAACAATAATAATAATGATAATAATAATAATAATTAATAATAATAATAATAATAATAATAATAATAAGATAATGATGATGATGATGATAATAATAATAATAATAATAATAATAATAATAATAATAATAATAATAATGGTGATGATGATGATGATGATATATAATAATATAATAATAATAATAATATAATAAAATAATAACAAATAATAACAGATAATTATGATAATTAATGATAATGATAAAATACTACAAATGATGATATTAGTAATCATAACAATAGCAACAACAACAAAAAAACAAGAATGGATCCTGTTATTATCATCACCGAGATGAAATAATAGCAATAATGATAATGATAAAAGTAATGATAGTAATGATAACAGTAATCAGTAATAATAGCAACGATTATCAACATTATTTTTATCCTCATTTATCGTTATCATGATTACCATTATCATCATCATTATCATTATCAACAACACTATTATCACCACCACCACTCATCATCATCACCATCATCATCATCATCACTATCATCAGAAATCATTATTGTTATCGTTGTGATTATTACATTCATTACCACCATCATCATAATCACAATCATCACTATCAAGCAGCAGTACCTGTCACAGAAGACACTACCCGCGTAATTAGTATGTGGTGCGAATAGTTTTGACACAGAAATGCACGGCTTTAGTCAATTTCACAAACCTGGAAGATCGACAGCCAGCACCCGATGGCCCATGGCAGCGAGGGCGCCGATGGTTTTCAGTTCTTCCCAATTTTTCGACGAAAACCCTTCCCGTGGAGAAGAACGACCGCTTCCCCGCTGCTTCTCACTCCCTCCGGCGGCTGTGCTTCTCGATAAAAGATGTCTGTCTCCTGATGAGGTCAATATGTGGGACTATCTCAGTGTCACGAGGAAAAAGACCATCTTGTACAGTTAGCCCTGGATTAACAATGAATCATAAGGTTGAGCTTGGGATTCCAAAGGAACTGTAGCTGTAGCCATCGAATCGTAGTCTCAGATTTACAGAAGGGTAATTTAAAAACTATTTTGGTTTTGTTATTACGGCAAATAAATCAGTTTAGGGCTCTCCGCACATGTTCCACAGTGCCATCTGACATCTGAGACACGCCTTCCAT